GTCTTTATCCCACTATGTGGGGTCGGCTACATGAATCCTTTTTCTTCATTGTGTCCTATTAAAAGTCAAATTCTCGTTTAAATCTAATAAAGAAAGGTCATTCCTAATATTTTCTAACCAAGTCTTTTTAGGTCTACCCCTACCTTTCTTAATACAAGTCAAATCTAATACCTCTACTCTCCTAACCGGGTCATCGAAAGGCCGTCGTTTTATGTGGCCAAACCATCTAAGGCGACTCTCTCTAATTTTATCTTCTACTGGAGCTACTCCAACCTTTTCATGTATATGTTCATTTCGTATCTTATCTCTAAGGGTAAAGCCACTCATCCACCTGAGCATCCTCATCTCTGTCACACTTAACTTAGTATTATGCTTCTCTTTTAATGGCCAACATTCGGCACCATAAAGCATTGCAGGCCTCACTATCATCTTATAGAATTTTCCCTTAAGTTTGAGGGGTACATTTCTATCACATAACAAGCCCGATGCATTCCTCCACTTCAACCATCCAACTTGAATTCTGTTGATAATATCCCCATCTATTTCACCATCACTCTGAACAATAGATCCAAGATATCTAAAACGTGTACTCTTATTAATGACTTGATCGCCCAAAGTCACAATCCCCTCACTAGGTCTATTACTACTAAAATTGCACTCCATATATTCCGTTTTAGATCTACTCAAGCGAAAACCTTTAGACTCTAAGGTTGACCTCCATAATTCAAGTTTACCTTCAACTCCCTCTCTAGTCTTATCAACAAGAAGAATATCATCAGCAAAAAGCATACACCAAGGTACATCCTCTTGCAAATGTCTAGTGAGAACATCCATGACTAAAGCAAATAGATATGGGCTTAAGGCTGATCCTTGATGTAACCCAACCGAAATAGGGAAATACTTGGTCAATCCACCTTGTGTTTGAACACAAGTAATAGCTCCTGCATACATATCTTTAATGATTTGAATATAAGCATTATTGACTCCTTTCTTTTCAAGAACTCTCCATAGCACTTCTCTTGGAACTTTATCATATGCTTTTTCTAAATCAATAAATATCATATGTAGATCCTCCTTATTTTCTCTATATTTCTCCATCAAACCTCTTAATAAATGTATGGCTTCCATAGTCGACCTACCCGGCATGAATCCAAATTGATTTTGAGAAACATTAGTGTCATGCCTCAACCTATGCTCCATAACTTGCTCCCATAGTTTTAAAGTATGACACATTAACTTAATACCTCTATAATTCGTGCAATCCTGTGCATCGCCTTTATTCTTAAAAATAGGAATTAATACACTCATTCTCCACTCATCTGGCATCTTTTTAGTCTTCAAAATAGTATTAAAAAGTTTAGTAAGCCATGAAATTTCTTCATCTCCTAAGCATTTCCACACCTCTATTGGAATATCATCAGGTCCAACAGTTTTTCCACCCTTCATTTTCTTTAAAGCCTCTCTAACTTCAGTTTTACTAATACGCCGATAAAAACAGAAATCTTTACTTTCATTTAGGGTGCTAAGGTCACTATAGTCAATCTTATTTTCACACTCTTCATTAAAAAGTTTAGCAAAATATCTCATCCACCTTTGTTGAATATCATCTTCTAAGAAAAGTATTTTTTGATCTTCATCCTTAATACACTTCACTTGAACTAAATCCTTACTACTCCTATCTCTTTGTTTGGCTAACTTATACATATATCTTTCTCCCTCTTTAGTATCTAATCTATTATATAAATCACTAAAAGCTAATGCCTTTGCATCGCATATTGCTTTCTTAGCATCCTTACGAGCCACTTTATATATTTCCCAATTATCAGAATTTTTAAAATTAAACCAATTTTTATAACAAATCTTCTTATTTTTAATCTTTTCTTGCACAATTGGATTCCACCACCAACTATTTTTACTATTAGGAGCTTTTCCCTTTGATACTCCAAGCACATCTTTTGCAGTATTCTTAATATCACTAGCCACTTTTTCCCACATAACATTAGCATCCTCATGCACAGACAAAATCTTAAGATCTAAAATCTTACTCACAAAAATATTTTGGTTAATATTCTTTAAATGCCCCCATCTAATCCTCGAAAAACGTTTTACTTTATTTTTTATTTTATGCCCCTTTATCTTAAAGTCCAAAACTAATAATCGATGTTGGGTACATAAACTTTCACTCGGAATAACTTTACAATCTTTGCAATCTAAACGGTTTAATTTTCTAATAAGAAAATAGTCAATCTGGGTTGTACTATATCCATTTTTATAAGTGATGAGATGCTCATTCCTTTTCTTAAATAAGGTATTAGCAATTGAAAAATCATAAGCTAAACAAAAATCTAATATGGTCTTGCCACCTTCATTCGTCGTTCCAAATCCATGGCCACCATGAATGCTTTTAAAATCATCTACCTCTTTACCAACATGTCCATTTAAATCTCCTCCAATAAAAACTCTTTCTTCAAGAGGTATATTTTGTATTAATTCTTCTAAGTCATTCCAAAAATTTAATTTAGAACTTATATCCAAACCTATCTGAGGAGCATAAGCACTTATAATATTAACAATCTTATCCTCAACAACAATCTTTAAAGCTATAATTCTATCACCAATCCTATTAATTTTTATAACATTATCCTTTAAACTCTTATCTATAATGACACCTATACCATTTCTAGTACGACTCCTACCCGAATACCAAAGTTTAAATCCTAAACTATCGATTTCCTTGGCCTTCTCTCCAACCCACTTAGTTTCCTGAATGCATAAAATATTTAATTTCCTATGAATCATAATATCTATTAACTCCATTAATTTACCTGTAAGGGAACCTATATTCCAAGTTCCTATCCTAATTTTAGTATCATGGACTAGCTTCTTTGCCCACATCCGTCCTTGATGCGGGAACCCTTGCCTATTTAACACTGCACCCGGGCGCCGGTGCAGCGGCCCTTGCACACTTGTCACTGTATTCAGGCCATACAGCGCGTCGCTTCCAGGGGACGCCCTAGCATTAACACAATTTCTTAAAGGATTCATGTCATTTTTGTTCGACAAGTTTTACGCTGGCTGTCGACTACCTAATGCAACCCTCTACTTTTCTCATCCAGGACTTGGGACCTAGCAACGGCAGTGTTAAAATCGATTGATATGTGTAATGAAAATTGTTCACTTTCCCAGATATTATCAGCACCTTTATTTGGCAATCCTGTAAGCAGAGCCACTTCATTTGAAGTGAATCATCCCTTGATGATAAAGCATTGATGAGGAATATCCTATAATGAGAGTAGAGGAGAACATTATGCTGGAATAGTGGGAACTTTAAAAATTGATATATGTTTAATCTCTTTAAGGTGTCCTAAACATCCTTATCTAACATCTCGATGAATGAGTCACATATAGTTCTAAAAGTTGGTCTGTAATAATAAGTAATCTTTGGAACATACATCTATAAACATCACTGAAAAATCATAATTTAAAATCCAAATTAAAATGACAAACACAGTTAATACACAATCAATACAAAGATAATATACGGTCAATACATAATTAATATGCAGTAACTATACAATAGATACACAATCAATATACAAATCAATACATAGTCAATACACAGTTAATACCAAGTCAATACACATTTAATACAAGTTCAAAAGGAGTCACAAAAAAAAAAAAAAAAAAAAAAAAAAAAACTCATAGACATTTGAAATACGTGCAATCTAATTTAAAAAATGGAATACAAAGTCAATACACAATTAATATACAGTTGATACACATGCGATACATAGTCAATACACAATTAATACAAGTTCAAAAAAGAGACAAAAAAAAAAAAAACTTATAGACATTTAAAATTTGTGCAACCTAATTTTAAAAATGGAATATAAAGTCAATACACAATTAAATACACAGTCAATATACAATCAATATACTATCAGATCACAGTTAATATCAAGTTAATATACAGTTAATACAAGTTCAAAAAGTAGACAAAATGAATAAAAATAACTCACATACATTTGAAACATGTGCAACCTAATTTAGAAAATTGAATACAAAGTCTACACATAATCAATACACAATTAATACTAAGTTTTAAAAAGATTAACAAAATGGATAAAAATACCTCTCAGACATTTGAAATATGTGCAACCTAATTAGAAAATGAAATGCAAATCGATATACAGTTGATACATAGTCGATATATAGTCAATACATAAGTAATACATAGTTAATACAAAGTCAATACATAGTTAATATAAGTTCAAAAATGAATAAAATAATTCATAGACAATTTATGAAATCTATACAATATAATTTAGAAAATTAAATACAAAGTTGATAAACAATCAATATATCGTCAATACACATTGTATAATCTCATATGTTTAAAATTTTACATGAAGGCTTACATTTGCTGATTTGCAGTAAGACGAGCGTACATCAATGTATGCCCAACTGATTGCCCTTTTTTGCTTTTTTTAACAGTGTGATGTATTGACTTTTTTTTTTTAAACAAGATAGGTCACAACAGCTACAAAAAAGCGACAAACAAATACTCTAAACCCTAAAAACTATAAACATAAAATCTAAAACCTATTTTGAGAGACAAAAAAAAAGTATCTCTTTAAAGATGAACTGAACAAGAATGACAGTCTAACATTTTTAGAAGATGATAAACTTAACGAGTTAACACAGAGCCTAAATGCTAATGAATAATGAACGATTTACAGTGCCGAAGATGAAAAGTGAATGGTGAACCCACTCCAATGCTGAAGATGAAAAGTGAGTCGGCTCCGTAACTTTTGATGGGCGGCGGATTCAAAATTTTCATCTCTGGACCACGCAAAATCCGTCAAGAGAAAAATAAAATAAAAAGCACCATCAGAATACGTCTTCCGAGCTGAGCTAGGGTTTTTCTCTTCTCTTGTTTAGCTGGTTTGTGCGCCGCCACCCTCACTCCTCCTCCGGCTTTGCCGGAGGCTTCCTCGACCATGGATTCTTCTTCTTCCCTTCTAGATTTTCCTCATCTCCCTTCTGCCAGAGTTCCCCCATCTCCTCTGCCTCAACGCAATTGGAATGCTATTTTTTCTCCTAGTGTTCCCTCTTCCGACAAGCTGCACCTTTCTCACTTCCCTGAGGAACCTGATATTGTTCCTTTTTCTGGGGAAAAGTTGTCAACTGGAGCTGAAGACTGGAGTCGTTGTCTGGTTGGCTATTCTATTGGCCGGAGGCCTTATTATGAGGCTTTGCTTGGAGCGATTAAAAAGACGTGGAAGCTCAAAGGTTCGTTAGAAATGTTCTCGTTAAGTGATGGTTTTTTCCTCTTCCGCTTTTCTTGTTCGGAAGACTTTGACACCGTCTGGACCAAAGGCATTTGGTTTCTTCTTGGTAAACCTTTTATCATGCAGAAGTGGCATCCCAAATTTAAGCCAAAAAGAGAAAATTTCACCTCTATTCCAATTTGGGTAAAGATTCATGACCTTCCCCTTGCATGTTGGAACTCTGAAGGGATTTCACGTATCGCAAGCAAAATTGGGATTCCTCTAGCTGCGGACACTCTCACCACGAAGAAGACTAGGTTGACATATGCAAGAGTTTGTGTTCTGGTAGACTGCCATGCATCTTACCCTGAAGAAATCAAAGTTTCTCTTGATGGTGATATTGTTGCTCTCAAAGTTCAGTATGAGTGGAGACCGTCTCCATGTGCTCACTGTAAGTCTCTTGTTCACTTCTCCTCCTTCTGTCCTTCGAAGCCGCAGGAAGAGGGTGATAAACCTAATGGTTTTTCTAATAATCTACCTCCCCGAGGAAGAAGTCATAGCAGGAAACCAAACAATCGTTCCGTCTCTAAACCTCCTGCTGGAAACCTTGCTTCCTCTTCATCCCCTGCTTTGGTCATTAACTCTAGAAGTGATCCTCCTGTCACTGAAAGTGCTCAAGGTCCTGTCTCACACTCTTCTCTTGTCCGTTCTGGTACTGGTAATATAAGCACTGCTGTTGAAATGAATGAGCTTGGTCATGTTCTCCATTATCAACCTCATTCCCCTTCTTCGAAAAACCCAAACTCTGACCAATTTATCTCTTCTCTTAATGATCTTAAGAGTAGGATTTCGGAGGTTCAGGAGGAAGGTGTTGCTCTTATCTCGGGACAAGCTATACCCAACTTAAATTCTCCAACTGCGGATAACTCAATTTCTACTGGGGGCATTTCCACTTCTGTTGTGGATTCTCAAGGTATCATATCTCCAAACAGATTTGATCTATTAAAAGATAACGAGGAAGTGTCAAAACCTGAGGATAACACCTCTTCTATGAATTCGGGTTGTCCTGGTCCTAAGAACAAGTCTTCTATTAAACCACAAACTCAAGCGAATGCTAATGGCAATGGGGGGAAAAAATCGGCTAGGGGCAAGCAGTCTAAGAAGCCCCAATCCTCCTCCTCCTCTTGATGTTTTTGCCGTCCATGGCTGCTTGGAACGTCCGGGGCTTCAACAGACCGGATAAAGTTCTGAGTTGTAAGCGCTTGCAGGCTTCTTTCAAGCTTGATTTGCTGTGTATTTTAGAAACTCGGATACATTCTACTGCTTTTAAAAATCCTTTTTTTGAGTCCAACCATATGATTTTCCCTTCTGAGAAAAGCTGCAATAACTTCAATTTTTCTTCTTCGGGAAGGATATGGGTCAAATGGAATGCCAGCAAGATTGACTTTGAGCCATCATATTTCTCTTCTCAATGCATTTCTGGATTGGTTACTGTCGGAAATCACCTCTCTTTTCATCTTTCTGTCATTTATGCTTCTAACAGCTATTTTGAAAGGAAAAATCTATGGGACCAATTCGCAGAATTCTCTCCTCCTCCTGGCTCTCCCTGGATAGTCCTTGGTGACTTTAATTGCTGTCGCTTTGTTTCTGAAAAATTGGGAGGTTTGCCTCTCTCACAGGGCTCTCTGGCTGACTTTAACCAAATGATATTTGATTTTTGTTTGATGGATCTTCAAACTGTTGGAAGTAACTTTACCTGGTTTAATCAGCAGACTGACAACCCGATCCATATTAAGTTGGACAGGGCTCTGGTGAATGATGCTTGGATTAAAGAATTTCCTACTTCTTTCTGCTCCATTCAAACTCCGTCCACTTCTGATCATTGCCCTCTCATTTTGCACTCAGGTGATGTTCCCAATTCTAATCATAGATTTCTTTTCAAAAATTTTTGGACAAATCTTGACAGGTATTGGGGTCTTGTTCTGGAAGTTTTCTCATGTCCTTTAACTGGGAATCCCATATCCTCTTTGTGCAATTCTCTCAAAAAGCTCAAAAGCATTATCAAACGTGAAGCTTGGTCTAACTCTAATCTCATCAATTCCCAACTGGAAGAGCAACTCAAACTTCAATCTGCTTGTTTGGCCAAGGTGCAGGCCAACCCGTATGACCCCACTCTTAACCACTCATTTAAAGAGATCAATCAGAGGGTCTTGGATCTCTCATCTATGAGCTCTTCGTGGATGATTCAAAGGGCAAAAGTGAAATGGCTTAAACAAGGCGAAGAGGATCTCAAATATCTTTTCTCTAAGATCAAAATTAGGCAAAGCAGCATTAAGCAGGTGGTTAATCTTTTTGTGGCTTTTCCTGGTAAAGACAATAGGGATGCTATTAACTGCATTGTTCAACAATTTCAAGGGCTTTTCAATTCTCCTCCTCCCTCCTCTTTGGATGTGAGTCTATTTCCTATTGGAAACTCTCTTTCGAACCTATAATGTGATATTTTAACTGATTATGTTAAGGATAAGGAAATTAAAAGTTCTGTTTTCTCGGGATCTTCTTCCTCCTCCCCTGGACCGGATGGCTTTAATTACCATTTCTATAAAACTAGTTGGCATATCACTGGGCATTTAGTCTGTAAAGCAGTTAGATCATTCTTTGCTAAAGGTTACATCCCAATGGGTGTGAAGTCGACTGTGCTGGCCCTTATCCCTAAAAGCAAAAATGTGGAGTCCATTTCTGACTTTAGGCCGATTGCCTTATGTAACACTATCTACAAAATTATTGCCAAAACTTTGGCTAATCATTTAAAACCTATTATGCCTCTTCTTGTTAAGCACAATCAATCAGGTTTCGTGAAATCTAGGATTTCCACGGATAACATCATCCTGGCAAAGGAAATTTTGGGCTTGGCTAGTAAAAGAAGTAGACACAAGTTTTTTTGTGCTAAACTTGATATTAGAAAAGCGTTTGATACGGTTTCCAGGGAATTTCTAATATCCAGAATGTTCCAAAAAGGGTTCCCTCATCATTTTGTCAATTTGATTAAAGCTTGTATTACTGATGTGAATTATTCTGTATTGGTTAATGGGGCTCTTGAAGGTTTTTTTTCCTCTACATCTTGGCTTAGGCAAGGCTGTCCGTTAAGCCCCTACCTTTTCTGCTTGGTTATGGATGCTTTTTCTGCTCTTATTGATAATGGAGATTTTAAAGGTATAAATGTGGATGGCTTTTCATTATCTCACCTTTTATATGCTGATGATGTCTTAGTATTTGGGGAAGGAACCATTGATAACTGTCTTTGTTTAAAAAGAATTCTTGCCTCCTTTTCTAATGCTACCGGTCTTCATGTGAAACTTTCCAAGAGTTCGATTATGTTTCCAAAATCAGTGACAAATCAGGAAGAGATCTGTCAAATCCTCTCTATTCATAATATTTCAGATGTTATTACGTATCTTGGCATTCCATTGTCTTTTAAACGACTTAAAGTTGCTGATTACATTCCCTTAACTGATAGCATTACAACCAAACTGTCGGGGTGGAAAGCTAGTCTTCTATCATTTGCTGGAAGACTTCAGTTCCTTAAGTACACCATTTTGAACTCTATTGCTTATTGGATACGGGGTTCCATTATACCCAAAACTGTTTCTAAGTTTTTCAGGAAAGTGTGCTCAAAGTTTCTATTTTTTGGGGATTGTAATGCGGGGAAAAAACTGCACCTGGTTTCCTGGGAAAAAGTCACTTGTCCTAAGGAGAATGGGGGGCTTGGTTTACCTTCTCTAGCCGCTCTTCAATATGCTTTTAACTGCTCCATTATCACCCGGATGTATAACACACAGTCTCCTCTATCTCAATGGCTTACTGCAAGATACATCTCTCCCTGGAAACCTATCCCTTCTTTTGCCAGTAAATTTTGGAGGGCTGTTTGCTCTACAGCTGAGGTGGCTAGAGAAAAATTCTCTTTTAAAATCACTAGAAACGCCCCTATCTCTTTTTGTTGGGATCACTGGGTTAGCAACTCTAAATTGGAGGATATCTTGTCAATGCAAGATTTTAATTATCAGTTTCCCAATTCCTTCTCTGATAGCCTTGTTAGAGATTTTATTTCGGGGGATAATTGGATGCTTCCTTCGTGTTTTTCCATTCTGATGCAACTCAATATTCGTAAAGTCAATATTGAAGAGGGTGCTGCTTGCCTATGGTGGGACAATAGAAAGCATTATAAGCATCATGATTTTGTTTTGGACTTTTACAAGAATCATCCTGCTGTTTCTTGGCATAATCTTATCTGGAAGAAAAGACCTGCTTTAAGGTACTCCTGCACTACCTGGTTAGCTCTTGTAGGGGGTATTAAAACTGCTGAGGCTTTGCATCATCGGAATATTCAGGTTCCCTTAACATGTAGTCTCTATTTCTCTCATCAGGAAACTGTTGCACACTTATTTTTTGGCTGTCAGTATTCTTTCAGTATAATTAAAGCCTTAATTCCTGGGGCTAATGGTTTTCTAATGGAACCCTCTCTTTTACAAATTCTGGGTTGGCTAGATGATGATGATTTGCGGACTGTTGAAGAGAAGGCCTTCTTCTCTTTAATCATTTGTTGTTGTGTTTACTTCATATGGAAAGAGAGAAATCAAAGAAGATTTTGCAATATCCTGAATTGTCATAATTCCACGGTTTTTTGCATTAAGAAAGCTGTTCATGCTAAGGTTTCAAACTGGAAAAACTCGTCTTCACTGCTGGGGAAATTATATGCTGGAAATGTCTCTAATATTTCATGTTCTCTGGGATAATCCTAGAGCTCGTTTCACTGGTGTGCTGAAGTGGTTATATGCTGCGACTGTTTGGAGCATTCCTGTGACAATGATGCTGCTCCATCTCATCCCCTTGGACGGCTCTCGAGCAACCAGGGGACTGAATGCGCTGTTGATCTCTTTTATTTGTCTGAGTCCAGGATATGCTAACTATGGAGCTCTTCTGGTTCTGGCTGTGGTTTTTTTGGGATTATACTGGCATATTCAATTTAATTTTGTAGGCTGTTGTTATAAAGCCTTTTTTGATTTTAAAGTTTTTTTTTGGGTTATAAGGTGGGTCTTTATTCCATTTTATACTTTTTGAGGCTCTCTTGAGTCTGCTTTTTCATGTAACTTTTACCTCTTTTTAATATACGGGCAAAGCCCAAATTTTC